CTACCAAGCAATGAGTCAGAACTTTTCAATTTGCTCCAGGAAGACGATGGTTCGACGTATTCTTGCTGTTATTGCTGCTAATGGGTACCCTACACGGTACTAAATTATATAAATAAAATTTATAATTGTAGTTGCTAAATAAAAAAATTATGACCCGAATTAATATGTAGTTTGTTGAGAATTCGCAAATCAAAAACCTGCAAAAAAAAATGGACATCGTATCGTTACCAAAAAAATCCGGTGATTTATGTCAGGGGAGTGTATGTGTTAAAAAAATTTTATAAATAGAATGTAAACGATGGTAATTTATTCTATTTTTTAGATATTTACGCGTATCTAGCAATAATTTGACAAATTACACCATATTTTTTCTAGATATGATCTTGAACACAATTATAGGCTTTGGACAATTCTTTATTGCCAATTGCTTTCACGAGCGCTTTCACGAACAACCACCCTTTATTGTTATAGATAGAAATAAGGCATTCAAATGGTAATTTAAATCTGCTAAGCGCGGAAATTTCCATGGACAATATAATCATGGACTCTGCTATGAGCGTTGCATAGGTACAGACAAAAATGTAGAGGAGGCATTTAAATGGTATTCTAAATCTGCTGAAGGCGGTAATTTTCATGGAAAAGTTAATCTTGCACATTGCTATCGATATGGAATAGGCATTGACAAAGATGAAGATGAGGCATTTAAGTTGTATTTGGAGTCCGCTGAAAGTGGCAATTCCCTTGGAATGTGTAGCCTTGGTCATTGCTATACGTATAGCATAGGTACTTCTAAGAATGAAAACAAAGGTTTTGATTGGTAAATGTAGTAATTCGCATAGTCAATACAATGTTGGGCATTGTTCTCAATATGGTCAAGGTACCGAACTGAATAAAACAAAGGCATTTGAATGGTATATGAAGTCTGCTAAAGGCGGAAACTCCTATGGACAACATCTAGTTGGATATTATTATAAAAATAGTGTAGGCATTTCTAAAGATGATAAGAAAGCATTTGAATGGTTTTTGAGATCTGTTGAAAATGGTGATTCTGATGCACAATATGAGCTTGGAGATTGTTACTTTGATGGCATTGGTATTGTTAAAGATGAAAAAAAAGCATTTGAGTGGTATTTAAAATCCGCAGAAAGTGACAACCAAATTGGTTTCTACAGTATATTATAGAAATGGTATTGGAACACCATCTAATCAGGAAAAGGCTATTGAATGGTTACAAAAAATAAAAGCTCATCAAGAAGTAATCAATTATGATAGAAGTTATGTTACCGATAATTTATTCAAATATTCAGTGCTTGGAAATGGTCCATTAATACCATTAATTCCATTTGATGAATTAAAATTTAGGAAACAGATTGGAAAAGGTGAATCTTCAACTGTGTATCTCGCTAAATGGACACATGATAATGTAAAGAGAAATGTCGTACTCAAATTAATTCATGGATTAAAAAATGAAAATAGCTACAAGGAAATTTCGAAGGAAGTAAATATTTTGTCACTTAAATAGTACAGCATCTATATTTATTTTACTTATTCATATTTATATTTAAAGTTAAATGCATATTCTAACATTGGATATGAAAATCCGACATTCTTGCAATTTTATAGAATATCCAAGGATAAAGATGCTGATGATTATATTATAGTTATGCAATACGCATTAATGGGGACTTTACGTCAAAATTTTGATGCTGTCGCAAAAATGAAATGGGTGAGAAAATTAGATTTAATATCATATATTGCACATGATCTCAAATTGATTCATGAACATAATATTATTCACTGTAATTTACATAGCGGTAATATATTTCAAGTTAATTTATATAACGCTTATATCGGAGATTTAGGATTTGCAAATTCATTTAACAAAATGTTAAGTAAAGAATTAGGTGGAATTTATGGAGCTTTGCTATATATAGCACCGGAAGTTTTATGTGGAAGAGATCCATTCACTAAAGCACCAGATATTTACTCCTTTGGAATTATTATGTGGGAAATTTTTTCAGAAGTGTTATATTTTCCGAATATGAATGGGATGCTTATAATGACATAGACTTTCCCTGTAAAGATTTGTGAAGGGCTACGACCGACTATTCCTGAGAACACTATGCCATGTTATGCAAGTCTTATGAGGAGATGTTGGGACAATGGCCCGAAAAGGAGACCATCAGCTTCAGAAGTTTATGAAGTTATTATAGAATGGAAAAATAATTCAGAAATTTTATTAGTTTTCGAAGTTTGATAGAAAACTAAATATAAATAAATATAAATAAAGAGGAAATTATATCGGATAATATTCGTACTGATAATATAAATAGCCACAGACATTGTCATAAGAATTATTTGGTTGAAGCTTATGTTACTGAAAATTTAAAGACGACAGAAATACGAAAGACAAATAGTGTTATTGGTTATCGGATTCGTATAATTATTTCAATAATATTTGAATTAATTTATCATGATCTACTTGATCTATTTTGGCAAATATAGACTTTTGATTATTTATTTAATTTTTAAAATATTTTTTCCTTGTTTTTTTTATATATGGGTCTTTTACTCTTGGTCGTCTTTATTCGAATGGGAATTTATTAGAAATGAATAAATCTAAGGCATTTTTTATTATCAAAAATGGGAATGTTTGTGGAGCATATGAAGTTGGAAATTGTTATCGAAATGGAATTGAAGTTGAA